GTTTTCAGGAATTTACGCAGATGGTCGATGCTGCCCGATAGGATGACACATGGTCCTCAGACCAGATGATGCTATGGAGACACGCATGGCAGCCCCGTGAAGCCGTTGAGCCTCAAGTGGCAAAGGGCTGAGTTCCAATGTGTCTTGATTAAGCAGTAAGACATTCAAAATCAGGACAGGGATTATTCCAGGTGCTGAGATTTTCTGTAGATTTAGTAGACACAGATGAAGATAAGGAACATTAAGGGAGCATTCTTTAAAATCTCGACACCTAGCTTGTTCATGTCATATGTGATGTTCCCCAAATCCCAGCTAAATTGTAAACACACGCTTGGTTGATTAAAGAGGTGAGTGCTTCCCTTTCTTACTCTCTAAAATCCATAATCCATAACCACGTTTGTTATGGGCTGAACTGTGTCCCCCCTCCCAAATTCGTATGTTGAAATCCTAAACCCCAGTACCGCAGAAGGTGACATTATTTGGAGACAGAATCTTTACAGAGGTAATTCAGTTAAAATGAGGTCATTGGGGGGGGGCCCTCATCAACACGACTGGTGTCCTTATAAAAAGCAGAAATTTGGATATGAAGACACACATAAAGGGAAGATGATGTGAGAGACACAGGGACAAGACGGCCCTCTGCAAGCCAAGGAGAGAGGCCTAGAACGGATCCTTCCCTCACAGCCCTCAGATGAGACCAACCTGCTGACACCTTGATTTTGGACTTCTGGCCGCCAGAACTGTGAGAAAATAGATTTCTGTTGTTTAAGCTACCCAGTTTACAACACTTTGTTATGGCAGCCCTAGCAAACTAATACAACGTTGTATAATAATCCTTGTTTTCTCTCTTAAAATGCACATTACCTGCATAAATACTTCACCCATCGCGTAGTGGCCGGTCACATGAAATAAACTCACAGTCTTTTAGATTGTAAGCGTCCATAGGACAAATCCTAGGAATAAATAACTTTGTTGCCACAGCTCATTACAACGTTCTTGTAAATGTGAATTCTGTGTGGCTGCGGTTCCTGGGAACTGGAATGTGGCTATTTTAATGCAAAATTAATTGTCAAACATAAGAAGACTGCAGTGGCTTTTCCCTAGTGATCATCTCACCCTCCAGCTAGCCGCCCTTACTCTTGTCCTCAACGCTCTCTACTGTTAGCAACGTCCAAATTATCATAAATGATTTCAGTAGCTCAAACCCAAAACACACCCCTTCTTGGTCAGCTTGCACCCGCTTTTTAATTTGTTCTTACTGGCTTACCCCACAAGAGGAAGGACATTTCTAGAATATGTGTTATATCTCCACTTTCACTGTCATCATCATAATCGTTTTAAGATCACACTTGTGTACATTTGACACCTGCTTCGATTTTAAACTGAATTCGAGGTGTAACATTAAAAATCGTATCTTTAATGTCGTATCAAGAAAGTCCTGGGGCCGGCCCCATGGCATAGTGGTTAAGTGTGTGCGCTCCACTGCTGGCTGCCTGGGTTCGCATCCCGGGTGCACACTGCTTGTCAAGCCGTGCTGTGGCGGCATCCCCTATAAAGCAGAGGAAGATGGGCATGGATGTTAGCTCAGGGCCAGTCTTCCTCAGCAAAAAGAGGAGGATTGGCATGGACGTTAGCTCAGGGCTGATCTTCCTCACACAAAAAAAGAAATCCCATGTGTTTTATCTATGATGTTTCATTAAATCTCTATGTAACAACATTTCCTTTTTTGGCATCACAAGATGTCCCAGGCTCATTTTCTGATTTCCCTGCCCCAGCCCTGGAATCAACAATTTCTCCAAGGAGCCCTAGTTCCCTTTATGAGAATGGTATTTAGAAACCAATATCTGAGCACTAGGTGTGCTCATTGCTACTGGGGTGTTTTTGCTTTTAGGCCCTCTCAGTAGACAAAGCTAGGAAATACATGTATGTACATTCATACACTCATCCATCTGTATTTCTCATCTATATGTACACAAAAAAACCGAGTTCCAACACTTCCAATTCCAATTCAACACCACAGTGTTCACTCTAGCCTTTCCCAACTTTTATTTGTAGCTCATTCCTCAATAATGAGAACCTTTGCTCTCATTATGGATCTTTCATTATCCACAATATATTCATTTGCTTAATCTTAACATGCAAAAGGCATTTTTAGAATTGCTAACTCATAACCCTTCACTAACTATATTTGTGTATAGCTCATTTTGTCTTTAGCTTTACAGTATACAGTCAAAATCCCACTTTCCAAAGTTGCTGGTTGTATGCTGGTTTTCTTTTTGACCGCTTCAGTGTGGAATGTCGCTCATTTGTAATATAGGTAGGTTCACTCGTGTATTTCATTTTGAGTCCCCTGCACACCACAGTTGATTTTATTTTTGGAGTATGTGAAACATTACTATAGTCCTGAGTCAGAGCTAAACACAAATGTATACCGAGAGGTGTCCCTTGTCCCAAATACCCCAATCCCAATCCTCCTTACTTTCCACTCTGTACTCACCAGCTGTAGGTAACCAGTCTCATTAATTTCTAGCTTATTCTTCCTGTTTCTTTTGCACAGATGAGCAGATACATGTACATTTTCTTATACTGCCTTCTTTATTACATGAAGGATGTTAAACTGTAGGCGCTCTTGCACTTTGCTTTTCTCTCTTAACAATACATCCTGGAAATCACATTAGCTCATAGAGCTCTTCCTCATGCTTTTTACAGCAGTGTGGGACTCCATCGTGCAGACGTGTTGTAGTTTATTGAATCACCCTCCTATGTATAGGTGTCAGGTCATTTCCTGTTATTTTGCAATTACACCCAAGGCTGCAGTGAACCACCTTATGCATATGTGCTTTTACATTGTTGGAAGGATCATCAGGGTATTTTCCCTAAAAGTGGGATTGTTGGGTCAATAGGTGAGTATATTTTGGTTTTACTTGGTATTGCCAAGTTCCTCTCCACAAAGGTAGTACTAGTTTACACTTTCACCAGCAACATATGAGAGTGTTTCACCAAAAGAATGTGTTGTCATACTTTTATTAACTTTCTTCCAAGCTCATAGGTGAGAAATGGTGTTTGTTTTAATTTGCATTTCTGTTTGAATTTTTAAAATATATTTTAGGGACATTGTCCTATCTTTTTTTTGGTGAATTGTCTTTTTCCATTTTCTATCAAGATTTTGGTCTTATGTCCTTCAATTTTTAAGAGTTGGCTTCACGATTTTGTAAAGCTAATGAATACCGAATATACACACTGGCACTTTAAAGTTTCCCATCATGACTTCAACCAACCGCTATTATCTAGTATATACCAATGCAGTAGGAGATGCTCTACTATTATGGGCTTAGGTTCTATTTTCATTTGAACACCAAAGCAATGTAAACTCTTTCTAAGAGACACAAGTATGTTGGTTTGTCTATTTGTATAGTCAATCTTTATTACAAAACAGGGTTCTCTTTTTGCATTATTAGTTTTATTTTTGTATTTTTTTTTAGCTCATATAGTCAAATTCTATGTTGCCAACCTTAGTACTGAGCTCAGATGGGGCTTCACTACCTATGAGAGAATCAGTATTTCATTGTGTCCCAAAGCCAGGTCAAGGTCATTTTTTGAGTGAAGAGACACATTTTGGTATCATTTACAGTCCTATCCTCGACTATTAGAAGATAAATGGGCACTATTTTCCTGCTAATAAGCTATTTTAAAATTAAAAACAAACTGTATATGAAGATCCAGATCAGCTCCCATATATTGTTTGAATTGTATATCTAATTATATGCTACTCTTTCAAAAACTTGCTCTCAAATTCAGTTGTCTTAAATTCAGAAGACAAATACTAACACCTGTCTTTATGAAGATTACAACTTTGGAATGTTACATGTTGAGACATTAAAAGTTGTATTTATTTTTTTTTAGTCACTGATTTTCTAGTTCTTAAAACATGTCCATACTTGTGACAAAAATTGATCAAAGATAAATTAAAGACTCAAATACAGAATTCAAGATTCAATTACAGGTGCCAATAGTACATTATTTGTGATAGGGATATTAAAATGAGCAAAGAGTAGAAACCAGACAGTAACAGTGCTTTGTCAACTGATGTGAACGCTTCATCACACATATTCCTTCATGGTAGATGAGATTTGTAGAGAAAGTGGTAATGAACTATAGTAATGTCCACTACTCACCCCCTGCCCAAGACTGGGGCCGCTTAAGGTTGCTATGGTAGGAGCTGTATTTGAGGGCTCCATCTTTTCTTAGGGTATTAAAATACATGTGCTTGTTTGCTGTTGTTTGTTGTACCATTAGTTTCTCTTCTTATACCTGATTTATAAAAGAATTAGAGGAGACAGCATGGAGAAGAAACGTATTAAACGTCTAGAAAAGTTAACAGCAATTTAAAAATAACAATTTGCAATGAATTATCCTCTTCTTGGTATGGAGAAGAACAAGTCCTAGTTGTCTTAAGTTTTCCCAGGTCACTAGGAAGAGTGAGTGGTAAGATCAGTGAATTTGACATGACCACTTTAAGGAAGAAAAAGTTTATAATAAAAGTATTCAAGAAACTCAATTGCCTCTCACCTTTCTCTCTGCCCTCCAGGAGCTAGTTAAAACCAAATTAAGATGGCATTAGGTGACTTCCCACAAGAGTAATGTCAAAGCTTTGACAACGTGTTGCTGAATCTTCAGGAAAGACTGCATAAAGTTGAAGTCAGTGAGTTAAGTGAAAGTAGTCAGTTTCATACTTAGAGCTTCTTTACAAAGCTTTCTTATAGTTAAAATGTATTTGTGCTGGTTGAGAAGTAGAAAACACTTGCTTACATCAGCAACAAAAAGAATTGTGATACTGTGAAAAGAGTTTTATCATATTTTAGCAAAATTTTTAAAAAGGGCAAGTGTTGAACATTCAGACCCTTTAAAAAAACATGCTTCAATACATGTAAAAGCTGTGGATGGACTTAAAAAAACACATCTTTAAAAAGTGATGTGGTCATAATAAAAAAAAAGAACACTTTTATACATAGGATTTTATTTTGCACTGCTATAACAATTTCATTATAGACCAAGGGAGAAAAAGAAAAAAAGGATAAAACCACCACACTGCGTCAATTACTAAAGCTTTTCTACTTTTTAACAGGATTTTCCATCTGGTAGGTTTATTGTCATATCCCCTTCAAAACAGACAAGATGCTTACCATATTTTAAAGATTATAGTTTGCCACTGAAAGAAAAATTTTACACAGTCACTGTACATCAAGGTTGAAAAACTGTCCTGCATGAAAAATATACTTAGAAATCATATGAATAAAAGAAAAAGAAAACATTATTGTGTTTAAGGAAAGATTAAAGTCCTCATAATGTGCCATCTGCATGTGGACATTCCTTCTTCTTGGAGTTGCTTAGGTGTAGGCAATTCTTGCATGTGCCCATTTCACTCATTATATTGTGTTTTTACCCAACAGTATTCATTAAGGCAAACAAATCCTTTTCTGAACAGGTCTTAAAGAAATTGTGGACAAATAGCAAACTTTTGGCATTAAAACAGGTTAACACATACATAGCCTTTAGTGATGTACATTAAGCATATTTTTCTTGAACTAGTGACAAGAAAACATGAACATGCTTGTTAACAATGTCAAAAAGTTTAAAATTCAGTGTCCAAGCAATTCCTAATAATGCTTCTGTAGCTTTAAGCTCTAAACAGTATAGAATTTATGCAAATGCATTAAAGAATTCAAGCTTGGCAAATTACACCCAAGCAGATTATTAAACTATATATACAGAAAGTAAATGATAAATACAGAATTAAAAGAGTCCTTCTGTTTTTCCTTATAGCCTTGAAAATTGACAAACTTTTTGAGGACAGTTCTATAATATTAAACATTAGGTAACCACAGGTGTTGGGAAACCTAACTACACAAACCAATTTAAAATACTCAAGATGACTTTGTAGTGTTTAATACAATTCAGTTCGTAGGTAAGGGCACAAGACAACATTTAACAAAAATAATCACATCAATTGACCTAGAAATCAAATGCAAATAGATATGAATACAATCTCCAAAATCTGTCTTTTTAAGTGAACATTAACCATTTATTCCAAGTTATACAAGAATTTGAAGGATTAAAGTCTTCTGTGACATAAAGCCATTTCGAATAGTTTCATGTCTCAGCTGAGCAGGAGGAGAGGGTGAACGAATGAGTGAGTAGCTGCATGTGGGCAGCGAGACAGTAAAAACAGACTCAACAGCAGCCTCCGCCGGCCTGCTGTCCTCCCTGATTGCCCGCGTGTGTGGCATTAGTAGCAGCATGCTGAGGGCCAATTTTAATGCCATTCGCCTGAAATAAAAGAGAAAAAAATAATAAATGGAACTGGATCCAATCAGATAGTATAGTGAACTAAATTTTAAAAATCCATTTAATTCTTAATGATACAATTTTACCACACAACTCAGAAAAATATACATTAAACACATATTTGCAACAATTAAAACAATCTCTCTTAGAGGATGTTCCTTCCTTCTAAAAACAATACTGTGGAAATATTCCTAAAAGTAATTCTTTACCATACCAAGTACTGGGTAAACAGAAACTGGATAGTGATGCTTTTCAGGGAATTCTCACAATGGAGAAATTGTTTAAAACAATTATAGCAAGTAATCTTTAAAGGACAAAACTATGCAAAGCCTATGCTGCTTTAAATACAACAAAATCTTTTCTCTAGACAGCTTTTCTGTTCCATGTTGAATCAGCTGTACAGGCTAAGGGCACATGAGTGTTCTGTGTCATCAATAATTTCTATGATCCCCAAAGACATGGCAGCTTGCCAAGAACCCACACACAGAGTAGTTCTTTCATTCATCAAACTCACACTTAAGTCTTAACCCTCACTCCCTCAAGTGGATTTCACCTAAAAATACAACACTTTGAGAAAAGTAATACAGTAGCTTCAGAAATTAAGCTCTTAAGGAAACTTCACGTCACAGTAAATCTCAGATTTATAGTGCTTGGCAGTTGTTCTGCAACAGTAGTAGCCTTGGGGTTTCTGGCACTAGCTCAGTATTGACAGCAGCTGATGTGGTTTCTTTTCGCTCTTTTGACTCCTCTTTAATAAAAAGCATGCCCTATGGCTCATTGGTTTTGCCCCCTCTGGGCTGGTAGCAACTTCTTGAGGAATCAAGGAGTCAGACGTGGCATCAGGCCAAATAAATTGCACGGCCTGTTGGCTCCTGACAGCACATTACAATCAAAGCTGCACGGGGCACAGTAAAGCAGTCAGCTACTATATGAAACCAGACAGAAACAATGAACGTGCCCTTTGAAATAGAGGCCCAATTACTGTTCAATTTATATGGCATTAGTCTCTGAATGGTGTTGCCTTTAAATTAACACAAGATCTACTGCCATATAAGCCTAGAAGATAGGATTTAGAAACTGTATTACTCCAAATTAAAAGAAATCATAAAATCAAGTACTTTTTGGAAACATTAGGCAAAATGTTGTTGGTTTTAGCAAAGAATATTGAGGCAAATAAAGAGCCTGGTTTACGTGCAGGCCAAGAGACACCCATGCCATGGCCTCCTAAAGCAGTGCTTTCCTAGCCGCAGCTGGTGGAGGAATAAGAATTTTTCTCTTGGAAGCAAAAAGTTTTACTATAGAATGGCAAAAATATTTACATAAAAGTAAATAATATGCTATATCCACATAAACATTCTGAAATAAACAAGGATAAATGCACAGTGGGGATTTAGGTCAAAATGATGACCTCTGATAAACACTCTGAATTACATGCTTCAAAGCTTTACATTTTATCCTAATCATGTTGATCAAAACTGGCTCAAAATAATTTCACACACACACAAAAAAACACCAGTGCCAACTGCCAATTACATATATTAATTTAGTCTCCTGAAAATATGTTACGCTATACTGGGAGTAATTTCCAAATTAGGTATTTCCCTCTCTCATACCAGACAACAGAGAGAACATCTTGCATTAGTAACATGGTACACGTATTTACACACTAGAAAATTATTCCCCAAAGCAGATGACCCCATACGGATGTGTGGATGAAAGTGGATTTTCTTCTCTCCTTGGAAGATTTATATTATTTTGCATTGCTTGCAATAAATGAACAGGGTTACTTACTTTAATCTGTTTTCATAGATAAAGTGATGTTCTACTAGAACATAAACACTTAATTATTATACAACATATAACAAATTTTCAGTTAGACAATTATAAACTAATGTGTTAAGTGACATCATAGATCCATTTTAGGAATTAAAAAAATATAAAATCATGAATCCAAGGAGCAATTAAAATTCAATTCTAAATTAATATTAGCCAATAATATTAATATGTATATACCTCGTTATTAATGTCAAAGACTCCTTCTTGGATTTTTTCATAAATTTCTTTTGCTGTATTGATAAATGCCTGAAATATAAGGTAGAGAAATTGGTTCAAATTATTTAAAACCACAACAGTAAAAGAACATTATATAAAATATAATAATATAGAATATCATAACATTCAACATAAGAAAATCAATGCAATATACCATATTAAAAGAATAGAGGATAAAAACCACATGATCATTTCAATAGATGCAGAAAAAGCATTTGACAAAATCCAACAACTTTTCATCACAAAAACACTTAACAAAGCAGGGTTAGAAGGAAACTTCTTCAATCTGATAAACAGCATCTAAGGAAAAAACCCCAGCTAACATCATACCCAGTGGTGAAGACTGAAAACTTTCCCCTTAAGATTAAGAACAAGGCAAAGATGTATGTGAATGCTCATTAGCATTATTAGCAGCAATAGCCAAAAAGTGGAAATAATATAAATGTTCATCAACTGATGAATGAAAACCAAAATGTGGCATAACCATATAATGGAACACTATTCAGCCATAAAAAAATGAAGTACCAATTCATGCTACAGTGTGGATGAACCATGAAAACATTATTATGCTAAGTAAAAGCCAGACAAAAAAGACCACATACAGTACAATTCCATTTACAGTCATGCGCTGCATAACAACGTTTCAGTCAATGACAACTGCATACATGATGGTGATCCCATGAGATCAGTACCATAGAGCCTAGGTGTGTAGTAGGCTATACCACCTAGGTTTGTGTCAATACACTCTATGATGTTCGCACAACGAAATCACCTAACAACACATTTCTCAGAATGAATCCCCATCATTAAGCGATGCATGACTGTATATGGAATGTCCTGAGAGGTCAATCCATAGAGAGAAACAGTAGATTATCGGTTGCCAGGGGTTTAGGGGAAGGGGGAAATGGAGAGTGATTGCTAATGAGTCTGGGGTTTCTTTTTGGGGTGATGAAAATGTTCTGGAATTAGATAGTGGTGATGGTTGCAGAACTTTGTGAATATACTCAAAGCCACTGAATTATACCCTTGAAAAGGGTGAATTTTATGGTATGTGAATTATATCTCAAAAGAAAAATTCATGATAGGTAGGGGGTAACATAATGTGAGAACAGCACACATGAGAAAACCTTGTCAACTAGATAAATGGCATAAACTTTCATACTGAAACTAGCTTACTTTTGGAGGCCACTGTTCCACACAGGATCCTTTTTGCCAAGACAATGTATTACTTAACATACAGTTTAAGAGAGAAAGAATCAAAGGATGCTTATAACGAAGAGATAACAGGTAGTTCAACTTCTATCCCACGTTGAATAAAGTTTCACCCTTTTCCCATACAGCAACTACTACATTGACAAGAATTAGTGATAGAACACTGTGATCAATGAAGCCTCTAAATAGCAAAATTAATACACAAGCATTCTATATTTATGTAAATTAAGACATTTTATACAAATACTGCCAATGCTATATAGAAGATGTATATAAACTCAGGTTCTAAACATGAGATTTGAGACATCACAGATAACAGTATTAATATTATAAGTTGGGTCCTCTTCAATTAGCATTCTATGAAAATTTATAAAAGAGGGCTATCTACCACTGATACAGATTTAATTCACAATTTAAAAAGTAAACAGGGTTCATGGAGAGAAACAAATCATACCTTTCGTCTTTTCTACACTGGAAACGTTTGACTGCTGAACTTGCCACCAGAGCTTTTGTTTCCTAATTAACAGGACTGATATGTTTTCACCTTTAAAGGCCTTACAGCTCCCCAGAGTAATCAATCTACTGCAGCTCAATTACCGCACCAAGAGCACACCAGTCAGTGAAGGAGACATGAACGACTGCGGCAGGAGCGCAGAGATATGAATATGCATAAACTCTAAGTGGTTGATCGAATCATCAGAGAGGGTCATGAGAATTTGCAGCAAAATAATGAGAAGAATTAATCACTACAGATTCACAAGGCACTTAGGAAGTGAGTGTGCTTTTCATGTGTGCTGGAGTTAAAGTGAAAGAGAAATTGGCTTTCAGCCAACTCTGAATTGATTCACATTCCTCAAAATTGAAGTTATCCCTATAAATAAGAAAAAATTTAACTTTATTTCCAATAACATGTCAATTACGATGATGCCCTTAGAAACCAGGCTAACTAAATACTGAGGTCAACAGATTCATAAAATTACTTGGTTGGAATCCCATATTGGGCCACCCACATGTGTACATTTCACTAGAACATTAGACAGCACTACAAGGCCCCATAAATGAGTTATAACTTCATATAAACAAGCATTTATATTATATGTCATTATTAAATGTGCCAATTTATGTAAACAAATTGACTCTTTGCTTATCTGTCGATGAATCAGTTAAAAACTGGCTTAAGAAAGCTATGCTATATAAAATTTTCCAAGTCACTACTAATTTTATTACTTAAATAGCACCCAATGGACTCGGGAGGTATTTTATATCTGAAAGACATGCAATTTATTGCATTACAATTGAAATATAACAAACAGTTATATTTTCTTTTATAATTCCTATCATCTCAATGTTATATAGTCTTTGGACAACACTACATTTAGTTGTCATCCAACTCTCTGATTAAATATTAAAGACACTGAAATAAAATATTTTCCACTCCTCTTAGCATATTATAGAGAGGATACTATATAAATGGATTGTTTTATCTACATCATAGGAAAAATTAATAGTTAATATATATTAAGTAATAATCAATTCTAATGAATTCTCAGTTTAAAATCTAATGTGATAATGTAGACATTAGTACAACTGTCTTAAAAATGTGTGGCTATGGACTGAAATTCTTGAGTTCTTAAAAATAATGAAGCATTAACCAAATAACGTTAAGGCCTATTAGGGATTAAATGAAACTCCTAAGATAAGAGCCTTGGGTGTCACAGACGATATCTGTCCACTAAAGCCCCAAAGCATTTCAAGAATGCAGAAAGACACATCTGTTACAATAATTGGCTAGAATTTGCTTTAATTGTTCATTTCACTCTAGTCACTAAAAATCAATCCTCATATATATTTTTCAAGGTAGAGATGTAACAATCTGCAATACCTCTAGAATACATTTAAAAAAATGAGGAAATTAGCAACAATAAGTTAACTAGATACTACAAAGCTTTTACACTAAAGCTCATGCTTTAATAAGACAGTCTTAACTTGAAATTCCTTCCAATTTTGGACATAATTTTAACCAGTTTTACTTTTTCTATTTCCCAGGCTACGGAAGCAAATTACGAGGAGGAGGAGGGAGAGCGAGCATGAGGGACGGGTGTGGCTGTGTGAGTGGGAAGCGGGAACGAGCATGTGCAGCAGCAGAGGAAGAGGCCATGGGGGAGCCTGCACGCGGCAGCGGCTGTGGGAGCAGCAGACGTGTGCAGGCTTCTTACAGCTCCTGACGGCAGAGTACAAGTGTTGATGATGACGGGCCAACTCATCAAGGAGAGCGAGGCTCAGTATTTGCTGTTTAACGTAAGAAATATAAAATATATTTTTGAAATACTTTCATCATCATTCTTACAAGTTTTGATGTTTATCAGGGTCAGATTTTGTAACCTCAGAAATTAATCTATCTGGAATACTTATTTCCCTAATATCAGAAAAATGAAGTAAGCTGATGGCGTACCTACAGAAAATTTTTACCATCAGCTAACGTAATACTTTTAAAACATGACATCCTAAAGATCACTGCAGGTTTTGCGGCACGTAAGTTAGAACTACAAGTAAGAATGTTACATTCGTCTCCACTCCACATTTCAAATATAGTCAAATCTGACTATTAAGAAATAAGTTACAGACTAGGAAAAAAATTTGCTAAGAAACTGGTGTCAAAGGATTTCATTATCAGCACTGTGAAACAAACAATATCTAGGCAGATTCACGATTATGAAGTATAACAGATTTCCTTGCAGTCAACTTAATCTGGTGAGCCTCTTGCTTCCCCATGCTCCACGCCAGTATCAGCAGCCTGACTCTCTTCAGTTTACCATTAGGCCCCCTCCCTGCCCCACTTTGCCCTACTTTGATTAATTGCCACATTCAGCCCTTTAGCTTCATTAGCCATTAATTGCCTTCCACCTCAGACACTAATCTTTCAACTCTTGGCAGTAGTTATCTGAATGGTTCTGATAATACCTAAACTTAAGTAAATCTTCAAGGACTTCTATAGCACAAATAAAATAAACATAACCACAAAGAACTATAAATGCATTATAATTCAAATAAATATTCAGCAAACACACAAGCAGATGTGTATCCTACCTATCATCTGTCATTTATCTGCGGGCACATATTAAACTGTTAGCACAGATTTGGCACTCCTCTAGGTACTATGTAAGATACAGGGAATTCCTGCTGTTGCTGAACTAACACAACTTGGTTGGGAGAATCTAAGCACAAAAGCTTAAATCTCTGTAAGACGCAGGAAAAATAAACTTTCTGCACTAACTGATGGAGAATGTGCGCAGGGCAGGACCAAGGCAGCTCTAGCTGTAGGCTACAGACAATGTGTGAAAAGGGCCCTCACAGCCAATGAGAGAAAATAGAGGTAAAGGGAAACATGCAATAATATTTTATTCTTATTATGGTTTAACAATTTTTAAGGCTAAATACTGAAAATAAATTCTCTGCCTACAACAGAGTAATATTTAAATTATTTCCATGTGTAACATGCTGCCACCTGGTGGCAAGATAAAAATTACAGCATCTGTTAGGTAAGAATTCAAAACAACAAATCAAAGTATCTTAGTTTTCTTTAGACATGAAGAGCACACAGCAAAGTACCATGTAAAATAAGTGACTCTTTAATTTTCTCTCAGAGCTGGGAAATATGAGGTAACTGGAATGCTGGTGAATTTTCCTTTTAATTGATAATCAATGCTATGGACATTACAGGCGTCCATATGCCAAAATTACTAATAACCAATATTTACTAAGTACTCACTATGGGCCAGTCACTATGCTAAGTGATTCACACTGGTTTTCAATATTTC